CTCCTAGGGGGTTTTTAAGAGTGATTCTGAACTTTCCTCCCTGCACATTCCCCTCGTATAAGGGAGTAACAACATGTGTAAAGCATAAACTCAGTAATTGGCTGCACACAAAACCAGAATTCAAGCAACAGTGACCCCAGATGTACAGCATAGACAGCTATCGTTTATTAAGTGCATCTTAACTTGGTATCACTTATCCCAAGCATTTGATTCAAATTGCATTTACCATATTTACTCTGAGAAACAGCTGTGTGGCTGATAGCTGTTATTACTAATCTCAATGAAGAATCTCTGCTACTTACTTATCCAGGATCATCCAGCTGGTAAGTGGTAGATAATGATGATAATAGCAGTAGAGCTAGGAATTCAGACCTAGGCCTTGCAGCTCCAGTGTCAGCATTCTTCACTAGCACACTGCTGTCCCTGCTTCTTGGTGGTGTTCCCTGAGCCACCAACCATAGACCGAGGGCCTTGGGACAAAGCGGTGGGTGCAGTGAGTACCTGTGGCCACCAGAGGGTGGAGCAGCCAGCTGTGTGCTCTTTCCCTTCAGGATGGTTTCCTCTACCCGTGGGGCTGTGCTCCATTTCTCTGCAACCCCCAGAGCTCAGTGCTGTTGAAGGTTTACTAGGTGCCAGCCCTCAGAATTCGTGCCCCTCTTTTCCTGCATTGGAGGCCTCCTAGCTGGAGAAAGCCAGTGATTCCTTCTAGTCCTCAGAGCCAAACGATGATGGGGCCCATTCCCCAGCTGCCTCTGCTCCTAGACCTCCTGATGCTTACTGCATCTCCACTTCGAGCTTTGGGTTGGGGGAGGTCGCCCTACTATCATCCCCAAACTCTTTTCTCCTGAGGCTGTACTCCTCTTCTGGGACCAGGACTGACAAGTGTTTGGGCAGGTGTGTTTTGGGCCATCCACACACCTTGTCCTCCCCAGCCCTGCCTCTGAGCCTGAGTGGGCCTTGGTGTCTTCACAAACACACACACACACACACACTGGCTCCTTTGGCTGTCACAAATATTATGATTATTGCCACCATTTGCCAGGCCCCTGCCCGGTACTTGCCAGCCATTAACTGAGTTAGCACTCCCAACTGCCTGGTGATGTTGGTGTCATTATCTGCCTTTTTACTGCTGGGCATTGCCACTTGAAGAGGTGAAGTGCTTTGCCCAAAGGTCGCTGCCAGTGAAAATGAGAGGAGAGAACCCAGATCCGCCTTACTCTGGTCTACTCTTTCTATTGAGGCAGATTGCCTCTTCCCCAACACTTCCCAGTTGTCCTTGACCTCTCTGATGTCACCCCACCCATCCCACCCTACCTCAGAGACACTGAGCTGACGTCACTCACCCTATAATGCCTCTCATACTGCAGCTCCCAAAAGGTCATAGGGGCAACTTCCAGTCCCAGACAAGGGCAATAAAGATGTTAGGAGGACACTTCCCACCTTTCCCATCCTGAGCAATGTTCATAGGCAGAGGCAGGAACAGTCCTTTGGCTCTGTGAAAGTACGTATGTGTATAAGTTTGTGAGTGAATGACGTGTGCTCATGTAGTTGTATGATTGTGTCTGACTGGGTACGTGGTTGTGCAGCCTGTGTGATTGTGCCTGGGACTTGGTCTCTGTGTTCAGAAGCTGCAGACAGGAGACAGCTCCTCACTTAAATTTGGTGGCTTGTTAGCCTCTTCCTCCTCTTCCAAGGTCCCATATCTGGGGAGATCTTGCCTGGGATCAACCTGGCTTCTCAGATGCTGGCAGAGTGAGGTAATATGTGTTGATAGTCTTTCTGTTCTCATCACATTTCTATCTTGTCCCTGTCACTACTCCTCCTACCTACATGCCTTTGAGCTGGGTCCTCTGGCAGCCCCTACTTTGCCCATCCCTGGTTTCCTTGACGACCAGAAGCTGGTCAGATGTGTTACTCAGCATCCGGGCCAGCTAGTTCCCTGCAGGTCCTAAGGCAGTGGGGGAAAAATGTGAACTTTGAAGTCAGAAGGACCTAGAATTCTATGTGGGCAAAACACTGCCCGCCCGCCCTCAGTCAGACAGTGGGTGCCATACCTCAAGGTGTCATGGAGAAGGCAAGTGGAGAGCAGCCTGCCAGGTGCAGGCATGCAGGAGGTCCCAAGGAACTGTCTTCTCTTTATCTGCTGCCATGTTGCAAGACCAGCTGATACTCCTGCCCCGGCAGCCTTCCACCTACCCCTTCCCTTCTTGTCAGAGTCCTCTCAATGCCACTGCCACTGTGGTCTTTCTAAATCACAGCTCTGGCATGATCTGATCTTGCCTCCTATGGCTTCCCACTGTCACCAGGTTAGGGGCAAATGCTGGTGGTGTCTTCGTCTTTTCTTTTTTTCTTTTCGGAGTACTGGGATTGAACTCAGGGCTGCTCTATCACTGAGCTACACTCTTAGCCCTTTTATTTATATATTTTTATTTTGTGACAGGGTATCACTAAGTTATAGAGGCTGGTCTTAAACTTGTCATCCTCTTGCCTCAAGTGCCTCAGTTGCTGGGATTACAGGCCTGCACCACGTGCTGTTTCTGAGCTGGTATTTATGCCTCCCTCTGGCTGCTACTCGAGACACACTGCTTCATCCCAAGCCAGCCTCCTTCCCTCTGCATCTCCTACATCTTTCCACTGATCAAGCCTGCTTCAGACCCCATCCTGGCTGGCAAGCATTCTCTGATGGAGCTAAGGGGACCTGCAGCCCTCAGTTTGTCCTTCTCTCATGGCCCCTGGTATGTACCCCACAGAGTCTCATGGAGCCTGTCCATGACCTGTCTGCCAATCAACTGGGCTCTGGGAGATCCCCTCTGGGACACACGGAGGACTCTCCAGCTGTGTGTCTCCTTCCTAGCAGCCTTCAGTGTGGGAGGTTGTCTCCATAGCTGATGGCTGATGGGAAGGAAGAGGCAGCTGCCAAGTGGGAACAGATGGTGAGTGGAGCACCCCACCACCTCACCCAGGCCAGGCACAGGGGATGACACTGCTGTGCAAACAGGCAGACACACCCTCTGTCCACTCCACAGATGCCCCCCTGGATCATCAAGGGAAAGAGCCGACCCACCTGGGGCCTGAGAGGTGGAGAGAAGTCCCTCCATATGAGCCTAGACTTGGGCTCTGGCTGACAGGCCTAAAATCCCAACTGCCACCCACTTGGTGTGTCACTAAGCGCTCTTTTTCTGAGAGCTTTAGCTTCCTTCTCTGTAAAGTGGACATCATTGACCTCCCTCACAGGGTTTGACTCAATGGCCACTCCTTTCTTCTTTTTCCTCCCTGGAAGGGGAAAAAAATGCCAGTTTGGTATCAGAAAGACAGTATAGGAGGTATGGTATTGGATTGAGTAGAAGAAGTTCAGATTTTTCTTTGAAATTTGAGAGAACTGGATTCTGTTTGGGAATTTATAGCTGTGTGACCACAGCTGCTACCAAGCCCACTTGACAATGAATCTGATAAATTGTACCTTCCTCTGAGTTGAGGTATAAGTGTCTAGACTTATACTCTCCAGAGCCCAGGTGACCCTCTGCAATACAACAGTACCCTGCAGCCACATAGGCACTTTTGGGATAATCATGGTGTTTAACCTCTGAGCCGCTGAGCTTCAGCTTACCCATCTATAAAATGGGGTTATACAGTTACTTCTTGTGTATTCCCTGAACTGTTAGTAGGTTTATATCCATTGTAATGTCTACCTCAGGTTCCTTGGGTTCCCATAGGAACCAAAGATTGTTACACTCTTTAAAACACATTTATAAGTTTTAAAGGTGAGGCTGTGAAATGTGAACCACACCCAGGTCAGGATTGGAGTCTCTAGGCCCCCACCTGGGCTGTTCCAGGCCTTTCTGCTAAGACCAGCTTAGGCTGCTGGGCCGAGGGAAGAGGAGCTGGGCCCCAAAAGATTGAGCCAAACTGGACCCAATTCTAATGGGCACACAGGAACCATGACAGGGTCACTAAAACACAAATGTTGACCTCTTGGCCAAAAGGAATGGCATTGGCCTCCTCCCAGGGCAGGGCTTCCTGACAGTAGACAAAGCCTGCAGCTTCCTGCAGTGTGGTGGGGGGTGGGTCTGGTTTCCACAGATGACAAGCACTTAGCCCAGAGCTTGGTACAGAGTGAGTCCCAATCAGCATTAACTGTCATCGCTAATGTGACAGACAGTGGCTGCCACCTTCCTGACTCCATAAAGACCTGCGGCACCCACCGAGCTCCAGGCCCTGAATGAGGGGGGCCCTCCACTCCAGCGTTGCTTTCAGCAGCTCACGGGCTTATGAGGCGCATGCTGGGAAGAATGTAGAGGCTGTGGAGGACAGAGGAGGGGAAGTGCTCTTAACCCTCACTGCTGGGGCCAGGATTGGGGTTGATTAGGAAAGCTCTAAAAGAGCTGAAATTTGCAGTGGAGCTATTAATTCTCAAGAGACAGAAACTGAGGCCCAGAAAGCCACACAGAGTTTAAATGATGGCGCTGCCTGGCTCCAAAGCCTGAGCTCTGACCTCCAAGTTTGGCCCCTGCTTCCTGGTCCCGTCCTGGGGAGTCCTTTGGGATCTTGGCTGAATGGTGAGCTCAGCAGGAGCCTGATCATGATGACCCTGAGTGCCAAGCAAGGTTGCCTGGCTTTCAACCCCAGAGGTTTGGGGCAGCTTCTGTTGGGGTTACATGGAGAAGCAGAACACCACAGAGGAGCAAGAGTTTGCCAGAAGAGGTGGTCTTGGGATGCAAGGAACCCAAACAGCCTCAGATCTACCTCCTGCCCACACAAGAATGATGAAGAGTATGGGTTGCTGGGAACCAAGGGGACTCGGGTTGTGGGCATGGGGTCTAGAAAGCTTGAGGTCCTGGGAGGACCCCAAAATCTATCTTCTAACAACCTCACTGCAAGCTGAGATCCTATGTCCCCTGGAGAGTAGGAAGGGGGCCTAAATTCACAGCTGGGAACAGGGCTGGGGAGGGGAACTGGGGGCAAGGAAAGAACAGTTGGTTCCTATTTCCCAGTGCTGATGTCAGAGGGGGCTGGGTAGGGCAGGACCCAAAGGGCCAAGGCCTAGGAGCCACTTCCTCTTTCCCACCAAGGAGCAATGTCACTCCCACAGTCCCCAACCCCTCAAGTCCTGCTCTATTCCAGGCAAGTCCTGGCCAGGGGGCTGTGGGAAGAAGAGGCATCAGGAACAAAAGTCTCCTTCCCTTAGCCCAATCCTGTTGTGCCTTAGGAGGGGACAGAGACTAGAGAACCAAGGTGAGTCAGAGAAAGGGCTCCTTCAGCCTGCAGCAGCCCCACCCCAAACCCCATCCTAAGGCCAAATCAAATCCTAAGGCAGCTTTAACCTCACATGGAATCCCAGACCCAACCCCAATCATAAACCCAGCCCAGCCACACCTCCAACCTCAACTGCAAATCAACTCAGTCCCAACTCTACAAGGAGGCTTAACCTAAACTCAGCAACCTCCACATCAGGAACATTCTCCACATCAGACCAATCCTAACTGGGCCCCCAATTCCAAACCTAAGCCTAGCACTGCCCTGTTCCCAGTCTAACCCTGACCCTAATCCAAATCCCAGTTCAAACCCCAACATGGACTCCCATCCGCAACTGCTACAACAGTCCACCCCATTATAACAGCCCCAGGGCCGACCCCTCACCTAAAGCTGATGTTCCTTAATCCCACTCAGGTCCACCCAGCCCCCAGCAATCCCAGCATGGCCTGAGTGTTCCTGATGCTCATCCCTTTCCAGCACCCCTTTTAGTCCCAGAGGGATCACTGGCCTCACCTCCAACCCAACTCCTTCCAGACCTCTACCCGGTGGGGTGGGAGACCTCTGCAGGCACACACGTGCACATCCACACACCTTAGCACACGAAGAAGTACATGTTAACACACACAGACACATAAACTTACACACACCCCCCAAAGCATGCTCAAATACGTACACCTTGGCACACACACACATCCCAATATAAACACACACACTCCCTCATATACAAAGACACACCTCAGCATACATATGCACACACCCCAGCATATGCACAAATGTAACATAAACTCTGTGATACACACATCTACATACGCACACACACCTTTCAGAGTACACACACACATCTTGGCATGCACAACACATTCCTCAATGTAAATGCATGCACCTGGGTGTACACAGACACACACACCAGCAAGGGGAGTGAAGTCCAGTCTGAGGTGGATCAAATGCTTCCTGCCCCTCCCTGAGGCCTGGGCCCCTTTGTAGTTCCCTCCTCCAGGGGCTCTGCACCTTCCAGCTCCTTCTTCAGTGCTGATTACGCAGCAGGCCCAGGGATTACCCACCCGCTTTTTGGAGCTGTCGGGGCAACTAGCTAGGATATGAAGTAGCAAGATTGCGAGCTCAAGGAGATGCTTTCTTCTGTGTGCTAGGGCCGCTTGCCAAAGATCACATAGTGAGATCACAGTGAGCACGCAGTGCAGATGGAGGTCAGTCCCAGTGGGATCAGATTGGGGGTGCAGAGGACACATCAGGCAGTCTCACCTGCAATCTCATCGGGAAAATCTCAGGTGAGGACACTCTGAGGCTGCTGGGCAGGCAGGATCAAGGGACCAGCACATGAAGAGGCCAGACTGTGGCTTAGACAGGCAGGTGATACAAAGGGGCAGTGAGAACCAGGATCTGCTGCTGATTACAATGTAACTCAATGGCCCCGTACAGAGTGCTCCCTGTGTACCAGGCATTTAAAGCCTCATCTAATCCTCAAAACCGTAACACCTGTCTACAAGGCAGGTATTAATATTGGTCCCCACAGAGGACTCTGGGGTCTAGACTCAGAAAGGGTCTAATCAATATCCTGGGCCTCTCTTACCTCTTACTTTCCCAGACATAACACCCTCTGCACAAAATGATCCTCTACCCTATCCCATCTCAGAGAACCCCCACCCCAGCCCCATTCTCCAGGCATCAGTATTGACACCACCTCCTTGGGAAACCCTCCCAAGCTGCCCTGCCGCCCCCCTTGTGAGGTGGCCTCTCCCTGGCACCCACCCCAGTAGCAGCCCTGTTGCCCCCACCCTAATGGCCCTGAGTGTCCTCACTGTCTGGGTTTGGGCCTCCATCCTGAAGGGTAGGGCTTGGTCTGCAGGCCCCACCCCACAGCACAGGGCCCGACCCAGCCCGCCCGTGGGTCAAAATGGTGCCCTGGGAGCGGCCCAGGGCTCTGCCAGGCTCAGGGTTGATCTCTTATCTCTCAGGGCTGCCTTGAGCCTTATCTGATGGGGCCTGACAGGCAGCAGATGAGACACTGACACAAGCTCAGGGTTATTCAGTAACCCTGACCTCTTTAAAGCCCCACTGTTTCCTGCGACATCCAGACCAGCTGCTCCTCCAACTAGGGCTGAGAGAGAACTGCAGTCATGAACACCTTCCTGCTCTCAGTGCTGTGCCTCCTGGGAGCCTGGGCCACCCTGGCAGGGGCGGTCACCGTGCAGGTAAGCCCCATCCCTACCTGGCCCTTGAGAGAGCGCAGCGGCTTTGGGGGCTGGAGTGGAGGTGTGCATTTGAGGCTTGCACTTCCTTGGGGACCCTCTTCTCCGTCCTGTCAGCCACACACACCTTTTGCTTCAAACCTGGAGCAAAAAGAACCCAGGTAGGAGAGAAAACTGGGAAAGGTGAGTGATGGAATGCCTGCCAGTTACGGTACCTCCCTGAGCTTCTCATTGAGGCCCCAGCACCCTGTGAGGAGGCGGTTTTTAACTCCATTTTACAGGGAAAGGAAGCTGAGCCCCAGAGAGGTTCTGTAAAAGAGATGTCCAGCGGAGAAATGAAAAAGCTGTATTCAAACCCAGGCCTTACTCCTCAGCCCTGTGCTTTGCAACCATCTGGGTCCCAGGAACTGTGAGGACACCCCAGAGGTCCAGATGGTTGGTTGCAGGACAGTGCCAAGCATGCTGGCACCCAGTAGGGGATCCTCACTATGAGAGACTCCTGGAGCCTCTTAAACAAAAACCAGGCTGCAGGCTGGAGATGGGGGCCCAGCGAACAGCTGGCTCTTGGGCAGCGGAATGCAGCCTGTGCATGGCTGTGTGGAACTAGGATACCTGAGACTCTGCTGCACCTCTCCCTAAAAACCAGCTCACGGAGTCCTCATCAGGCACCTACTGTGTCCCTGGCCCTCCACCTCCATTTTCTTCATTATTCATGACAGCTTGCAAAACCTGAGGCCTCCGAGTACCCAGGGTCACAGAGCAAAGCCAGCAGGGCAGGGACTGGCTCTGACCCCCACACCAGCTCACTGGAGCATCTGTTTCCTAGGCACATTGCTCATGTGCCCTAGAGCTGAAACTGCAGGGTTGGGGTCCCACCAGGGAGCTGAAGCCTGCCCTCCTGCCTTGGCTGTCTTGCTCAGGATGGAGACTTCTCCTTTTCCCTGGAGTCAGTGAAGAAACTTAAAGACCTCTGGGATCTCCCGGAGCCTAAGATTGGGAACTTCAGGAAGCTTGTGCCCACCCTTGGTAAGCCTGTGGCTCCTGTGATCTGCAGCTATGAAGCGTTTCCAGAAGAAATCAGGCCTGTTTGCAAGGAGCCCAATGCTGAGGAGATCCTGCAGAGGCTGGGTGAGCGACCTCCTGTGGGAAGGCTGGGCTGGGGGATTCTCTGTTGATGGCTCTTGAGGAAGAGATGTTCTATGGTTGGAGGGGCTCTGTTCTAATTGGTGGGTCTGTTGAACTCACGTTATGGTTAGTTCCAAGTTGTAACTGATGAGACTTATGAAGATCCTGGTTCAGACGGATGGGTTGGTAGGTAGTACTGTGCTCCAACATCTGGTGCTAGTGTTATCTCTTCTCTGGGTAGAACCTTCATTCTGATTGGATGGCTTGAGTGTTCCATATGTCCTTTTTGGGATGGGAAGCCCCTTCATGGGTCAGAGAGGCCAGGCTTGTTGGGCCTCTCCTGGGGATTGGGTGGCTGCTATTCAAGCTCTGGCTGAAGGGAGGCAGGGGCCCATGGGGGAGGGATTGCTGGCTCTCATCAGGCCCCATCTCTCCTGTCCAGAGGCCATCGCTGAAGACCCGAGCACGTGTGAGATCTGTGCCTTTGCTGCCTGTGCTGGATGCTAGGGCGGTGGTGTTCGCTGCCCTCTCCCAACTTTGCAGGGAAGCCCTGTCTTCTGCTGGAGGGGCAGCCTGTGATATTCCCACACCCAGCTGCACAACCTGCCCTGCCCCAGAATTGGGGGTGGGGGTTGGGGGTGAGGAGAGAACAGCCCAGAGAGGGGCAGGGGTACTAGAGATCCAGCCAATGCTCGACTAATAAACCAGATTCCAGAGTCCTTCCAGTGTTGCCTTTGTCTCTTGCTTTGTGGATGCCCGTCCTATCCTGGGAAACTCAGGGTTCAGCATGCCAGAGTGGAAGGATCCCAAGCTCCCTGCTAAGATATCCACCTGCTTGGGGCTGCCACCACACACGGGAATAAAGGGGAACGGAATCTCTAGGCCATCACTTAGGAGGGTGCAACCACTGCTTTTCTTTCACAACTTCTAGGGTCACCAAAATCACAAAACCACATATGACCACAAAGCCTGTCTGAACTAGTTAGGCTGTCCAACACAATGGATTGCTCTATTATGAGATCAGTGTCAAGCTCTTAATATTCAAGGCACCCAGGATCTGGCTTCCTCTGACAAGGCCAGCCTTGCCTCCTACCCTCCCCCATGATCCCATCCCAAGCTGCACACCTATGGCCATTTCCTTTGCTCCCACTCACCTACCTCTGCACTGACCCTCTGCCTGCACCGCTGGCCAGGTAAACGACCCAGGCTCCAAACATCACTCCATGCCGTCTCCTCAAGATGTCTTGTCTGATTCCCCCAAGAAGAGCTGTAGTGCTCCCACTCTGTCCTTGGTGCTTTCTGTGCACGTTGATTACCCACATCCTTGCACAACTCTGTTTACCCTGTTGTGCTGTGTCTGGGGAGCCTCTCTATCCCCAGACAGGGTGACATCTACCCACATATTGGTAGCATGAGGATAGACCAGGGTAGAGGGGAAGCTAAGACAAGGTGGTTTCAGCCTTGGGCTCCAGCCTCAGGCCTTCAACATGCTGTGTGAGACCTAAGAAAAGGAAGTAAGGCCAGTCAGTGAAAGGAGAGGGAACAAGGAAAGAGGAGATCACCAGGGTCCTTCTTGGGGAGTCGGGTGGAGAGGAAGTGCCACAGAGCCATTCAGGGAGGATTCCCATGATCTGTGATATTCAGAGGGTGACATCTCGTCTAGCTGAGGTGAGATACATTTTCATTAGCCCTTGGGGACTTGCATCAGAATGGGTGGACTTTAAAACCAATGTAGAAGAGGAAGGAAGAGAAATTTCCAGAAGGTCAGGATGGTGGACACACATACACAAAGAGGGACTGGAATAGTAATAGTTCAGATGGGACAGTGTGGAGCCTGAGAGGCTGTCAGATTGGATTTGGGCCTGAGCATGTCATTTGCAAGGCATGTGCCCCTCCCCAGCCTTGATTTCCTCATCTGGAAATGGGATGAGAACAGATCCTTCTCCGCAGGTGGCTGGGGGAGTGACGAGATGTGTGGTGGGTAGAATCATTTAATGCTTGAACTCTGGAGTCAGACTCTCTGGCAATTAATTCTGGCTTTGCTTGTTAGAGCTGTGTGACTGGGGGTGGTTTACTCCTCAGTTCCCTTATCTGTAAAAATGGGATGGCAAGAATTCCTATTTTTGTAGAGTTGAGTGAAGATGAGATGAAGTTATACTGGTAAAGTTTTAAGCTCCCTGGGTCTTTGACAACCAACAGGTCAAAGAAGAAATTAAAAGGAAAGTTGAAAGATATTTTCAGACAGGCAAAAATAAAAACACAAAATACCGAAAATTATGGGATGCAGCAAAAAACGGTTCAAAGAGGGAAGCAGTAAATGCCTACACAGAAAAAGATCTCAGTAAGGCATCTAATATTACACCTCAAGGAACCAGGAAAATAGCTACTCATGAAAAAGAACGTCCACTAACTTAGAGCAAAGTTAGCAGAAGGAAGGAAATAATAAAGATCGGAATAGAAATAAATAGAGATTAGAAAAACAATAGAAGAATTAACAAAACTAAGAGTTAGCCTTTTGAAAGATGAAAATTTTAACAAACCTTTAGCTAGACTAAGGGGGGGAGAAGAGAAGAGTCATAAAAAATATCAAAGGTTTTCTTCTAAGATCAGGAATAAAACAAGGATGCCCACTCTTCCTACTTCCGTTCAACATAGTGATGGAAATCCTAGCAATAGAAATTAAATGAGAAAATAAATAAAAGGCATGCAACTCGGAAAGGAAGATGTTGAATTGTCTCTATTGTAGAACACATGATCTTAGATATAGAAAACCAAAAATACTTCACCAAAAAAAACTTGTTAGAACTCATAAACAAGTTGCAGGATGTTAAATAAACATACAAAAATCAGTAGCATTGCTTGGCGGAGTGGCACACAACTATAATCCCAGTGGCTTGGGAGGCTGAGGCAGGAGGATTTGCAAGTTCAAAGTCAGCCTCATCAACTCAGTGAGGCCCTAATTTACTCGGCGAGACCTTGTCTCTAAATAAGATATGAAAAAAAGGGCTGGGGACATGGCTTAGTGATTAAGTGCCCCTGGGTTCATCAGTAGCATTTCTACATGCTAACAATGAACAATCCAAAACACAAATGAAGGAAATATTATTTACAACAACAAAACAAAGCTTAGGAATAATTTAAGAAAGTAGGCAAAAGAACCATAAACTGAAAAATATAAAATATTAATGAAGGAAATTGAAAACATAAATAAGTGGAAAAATATTCCATGTTCATGGATTGAAAGAATTAATATAATTAAAATGTCCACACTACCAAAAGCAATCTACAGATTCAATGCAATCCTTATCAAAAGTCCAATGATATTTTTTCACAGAAATAGGAAAAAAATTCTAAACTTCAAATGGATGCATGAAAGACTCAAAATTGTTAAAGCAATCTCAAGCAAAAAGAACAAAGCTGAATGCACCACATGATCTAATCTCAAAATCTACTCCAAGGCTATAGTAATAAAAATAGCATGATACTGATTAACACACACACACACACACACACACACACACACACCAAACATACAAATGAGTGAAACAGAATAGAGTCCAGAAATAAGTCTACAACTGATCTTTGACAAAAGTGCCAAAATCACATAATAATTGTCCAATAAATTGTTCTAGGAAAACTAGATATCCACATGCAGAAGAATAATTCCATCCCATATTAAAAAAATCAACTCAAATGAATTAAAAACTAAAGTATAAGTCCTGAATTGTAGAATTACCGGAAGATAGGGAGGGGGGTATTTCTTGGCATTGGTTTTGGATATGAAAAATGGGATGGCATCAAACCCAAAAAGTTCTACAGAGCTAAGAATAAGAGATAACCTATAGAATGGAGAACTGATGAGGGATTAATAGCCAAGATATATAAGAACACAAGCAACTTATTAGCAAGAAAACAAGTAATCCAAATTTAAAGTGGGCAAAGGACCCGAGAAGATATTTCTCAAAAAAAAGATAAATGAATAGCCATAAGGTATATGAAAAGGTAATCAATATCACCAATCACTAGAGAAGCGTTAGTAAACCATGATAAGATACCACCTCAATCTTTAAAAAAGGGCATATATATTCATTCCAAAAGGTAAAAGGGTGTGTTGGGAAGGATGTAGCAAAAACAGACCCCTGTACCCAGTTGGTAGGAATGTAAATTGGTGCAGTCATTAGCCCTCCAGTGGTATGGAGGTCTTTCCTCTAATTAAAATTAGAACTACCATATGGACCCAGCAATTTCATTTTGGACATACATAAGATAAGAAATCAACATGTCCAAAATGTGTCTTCACTACCACGTTCATTACGGCATCCATCCCAATAGCCAAGGCATGGAATAAAGAAAATACGGGACACATACACAATGGAATGTGATTCAGCCCTGGTGTGGTTTGGATCTAGAAAGTCCCCCAAAGGCTCATGTGTTGATGGCTTTATCCCCAGTGCAGCAATGCTCAGAGGTAGGACCCTTGGGAAATAATTGAATCATGAGAGTTTTGACCTCATCTATTGATGGATTAACAATTTGATGGCAATAATGGGAGGTGTTGGAAACTGTAGGAGGTGGGGCCTAGGTGGGTCAATGTGGGTGTATCCTGGAAGGGTTTATCTTATCCCTGACCCATTTTCCCCATTCTCCTTTTCATGGCTACTATGAGGTGAGCAGCTTTCCTCTGCCACACCCTTCCGCCATGATGTTTCCATCTCAGAACCAGCCAACCATGGGCTGAAACCTCTGAAACCATGAGCCCAAGTCAACCTTTCCTCCTCAATTGTTTTTCTTGGGTATTTTGTTGACTAACACTTAACATTAAAAAAAGAAAGAAAGAAAAATGGATTGATTCTGTTGTCTGTGAAGAGCATAAATAAACGTGGAGGAAATTGTGCTAAGTGAAATAAGCCAGGCATAGAAAGACAAGGTGTGCATGGCCTCACTTACAGGTGGAATCTAAAAGAAATCTAACGCATCCATGCAGAGAGTAGAAGGGTGGTTACCAGGGACTGGGAGCAGGGGAGAAAATGGGGGCATGGGAAAAAAAAAAAAAAAAAAAAAAGAGGAAGAGGAGGGGGAGAGGAGGGGAAAGGGGAAGGAAATCAAAGCTCTCCTGGGCCACAGAGAGCACTTTGTAGGTGCTGCTGTTCTGCACATGAGAGGTGCTTCACAGTGACTGTTCCCTTCGCTATCTCCACCAGGTGAGCTATAGGGAGCAGTGGCACTTGCATCCAGAGCATGTCTGGGCTCAAGTTAGACGTGAGAAGTGGCACTGGGGAACCACAGCAGTATAAGGAGCATAGGGGGCCTACAGGCTACAAGGCCATGAAGGAAGCTTTGGCCTGGCCTGAGTGATGGTTGAGGGTGAGGAGTAGGGGCCTAAATTGCTGCAGCAGGCCTTGCAAAGGGCCCCAGTCAACCTCACCCTGGGGGAGGGAGAGAAAGAGGCTGGAGGCTGGAGGCTGCAGAATTCCTGAGAAGAACTGGGCAGTCAGGTCGGGCAGCTGACTGAGGAGTCACCATGGCCTTGGGGAGCTTCTAGAAGGCACAGGTCCTTTGTATCTGGCTTCCCTCCTCCTTGGTTGCCCAGGATGAAGGACAAGATGGAGTTTGCTCTGGAAAGGCCCCACTACTGGGAATTCCCAGCACAGCTCTTGGATCAACTCTGTTCCCAGGGATTCCTAGCATGTCCCCTGGCTTTAGCCAAGGGCCCCGAAGGCTGTTGGGAGGTGGTGGTGGCTGCACTGGGCCTTGCCTTCAGCAGCAGCTTCAGTAGGCTGGCAACATGGAAAGGCAGGGACGGCATGGTCAGAACACAGACTGTGGTCCAGGCGTCCTGGGAAGAACCTGCTTAGCCACTTCCCAACTCTGTGGACCCAGGCTGAGTATTTCTCTGTGCCTACCCTCCTGACTGGTAAGGGAGATCGGAGTTAACCACAATGTCTACTTCACCTGACTGTTGTGAGTTGCATGTGCCAAATGTTCAGAATGGTGTCCAGGATATAGCAAATGCTCAATTAATGTTGGCTACTATTAGTACTCCTTGGGGCCACTGGGCTGGGGAGGGGAAAGGAAGGTCTTCTAGTTGGAGCTGGCCAGATGGCTCCCAGGAGGCCAAGAGCAGAGTGGGAGCTTAGAGAAGAGAAGATCTTTGTCTTCTGAGAAGGCCACTGGCAGAGCCAGCCCTGGTGTGGGCCTGGGAAGGGCACAGGTGACCTCCCTTCATTGCTCCTCCCATTGTCCTCACCCCTGTCAGGAGTACAGAAGCTGGCTCTGACGTGGGGGTCCCAGAGCTCAGCCTGAGGGTCTTACAAGCCTGGGTTGCTCTGTGAGGTCATGTGACTCTCCACCTGAGCTTTGCTCCCTCATCTATGATATGGGGCTTAATGAATCAGCTCTTTGGGCTTGGGAAGTTCTGCCAGTTATCTTCTGTCCAACCTTGCCCTCAACCCATGCAGCTTCCCAAGATGTTCCAATGGACAAACAGACACTTGGCTCCATGTGAATGGAGAGTTTATTCAGGAGCAGGGAACCCTGGGGGCCAAACGCTTCTCAATCTTGTGTCCCATTGCTTTGCACCTGATTGAGCTGCTCTAGCCTGGGAGGGTGGTGACGACTGTAGTGGCCAGGAGCCTCTGCTTGAGTGTGAGGGGCCAGGCATCCAGGGTGAGCTCAAGGCTCCCAGGGACATCTCAGCAACCGGTGCAGGCGACATTTACACACAGCTCACAGTCATCATTGGCGATGGTCCCTGGGCAGGAAAGAAAGACAGTCAGCTGACCCTAACCCTGGATCTGGAAGGTGGGTGGCCACAGGGGAGCTGCTGGACAGACTGCAGAGAGGGACTGTGTAGGAGGGGACCCGGCACCTTCTTCACAGAATGGGCACAGGGAGCTTTGGAAGTAGTGAGCTGGTCCCCATCCCAGGTGCTCTCCTTCCAAGCAGGGACTGGGCAGGGGACTTTGGTCTGTGCCCTTTTCTTGTCTGCTCCGTGGACAGCTAAACCTTTCAAAGGTACATAGGAGGGAAGGTGGACAAAGGAGGGACACGGGGACCGGCCCAGAACAGGCTCAGCAAAATGCCTGCCAGTCACTGTGTTCCGCTGCCTGGCTCTGCCTCGTCCCACTGCTGTCAGCTCAGCCACCACCTCCCCTTGGAAGCTTTTTGGACCCTTGTCCCATCAGGTGTGAGGACTGGGCTCTTCTGCTGCTTTCCCATGCACTCACTGTGTGTTCAGGGGGCTGTGAAGGCTTTGGGGGACTCCCTGGGACTAAGGGGGCTCCTGGCCTGTCTCACTGTGCCCAGACGGGGGCCGTCCTGGGGCGGGGGGGGTTGGGTACTTGAACCTCCCTCTCTGTAGCCACAGGAGCTTAACAGAAAGAACCTGTGGAGGAGGAGCTGGGATGGTGGAGGCGGCAGGAGGGGCAGGAGGTGTGCAGGGATGGGGGCACCTACTCAAGGTCTGGAAGATACTGGCGGCTTCCTGGGAGGTGCAGACGGGCCGGAGGTCCTGGGGCAGAGCTGGGTGGTGGCACACAGAGGGCAGGAGGCTCTTGGTTTGCAGGTGAGGGCTGGGCTCCTGCTGCCCCTCCAGGGCGCTCAACTTCTTCACCGACTCCAGCTGGACCTCGAAGCCTTGGTACTGGGGGTGGGTGTCGGGGAGATGGGAGGAGGTCAGGCCTTGGACCAGGGCAGGCACTTGACCCCATAGGTCTTCTGGCCCCTTCCCTGTCTTGATGGAAAGTCCAGAACACACGGGAAAGGGCAACCTGGGTGGAGGAAGCAGCCCTTGGCTCCCCACTATGCTGCTGGCCGGGAGGGCCTGGTGAGGTCTACACAGAGCTTTGGAGCGTGCTGGCTCAAGGTAGGGATGTCAGAGATGAGGGACCCTGGTTCCAATCCCAGCTGTGTTCTGGACTGGCTAACTTTCTCTTCCCACATCTAAGCCTCCGCTCCCTTATCTGACATTCCTTTAGGGATCCTGGTTCTGGGACATAATCACTAACAGGTCACTCTCCTTGAACTCACAGGGCAATAATGCCAACTCCAAGTTAACCAGAGGGACTCACCTTGATGTAGACTGACTGTGTGCTCTGCAGCAGAAGCAGGAGACCCACAGCTGCCCCCAGCAGGTGCCCCAACACAGTCCTGCTGTCCATCTCTGTCCTTTTGTGTTCTCGCTGCTGCTGTCCCTCTGGCTCCCACCGGCTTCCCTGGCTAGCAGCTCTTTATAGGCCAAGCTCTAGAGCCCTGGTCACTCATTAACTGGCCAGCTGGGGTGGGGTTGACAGAAATTTGGCTCTCTGACAAGCCCAGAGCTGATTCCCAGGCAGGGGATTGGGGATGATGACCAGGGGACGCCCAGAGCACACAGGAACATGGTGGGGCTGGGTCAGCTGCCTGCCTGGGCAGGGTTCTCTGTGAAGGTCGCAGACCACTGCACTTTCCCCCACTCCTTGGCACCTGCAGTAGTGGAAAGACAGGGGAACCATCTCACAGACATGGAGAGTAAGGTTCCTGAGATGAAGCAATTTGTCCCAGGTCACAGACCTAACCAATGGCAGAGAGACTACAGCCAGCTCTTTATGGCCCACGTCAGCCACAGTTCTTTCTCTGTGAAAGGTGCACAGGGGCAGAAGTGCCAGGTCAAGGTGGGCAGATACAGCGCTAATGTCAGGGTGCTCCAGCCCTGATGCCCTCAAAACCACCACATCTCCCACTCCTCTCCCCAGTCCTAATGAAGGACCATCCTTCTGTCCAGGTCTTGCCCAGGCCTCTACCTGCTGTCTCCTACCTGTGCCTGGTGCCCTTGGCTTCATGTGACCCATCTGTCCTGTCCGTCCCTTTCAGAACCCAACATCCTAACCCAGCATGGAAGAAAGAGCGCTTGGCTTGCGGCTCTGTGATCCTGGGAGTCTCATCAATTCTGACTAAACCTTCATTTCCTCCTCCATCACGTGGACATAAAAAAAAAAAAAAACCCACGGCTGAAGGGTGTTATGAGTGCGAGGGGGCTCCAGTCACCTGAGTCACCCTCGTGTCCCGGGTAGCACACTGTAGCAGGTTCCTCACTCTCACAACTACCTTCTAGGCAATGGGTAACTCACTGCCTCAGTGGCCGAAGGTTGGGTCAGAGAGAAGAGGGCAAAGTCTATAAGGGTGATATCACCATGGCCAGCTCAGGTGGCTGTCAACAGTGGCAGGGCCAGGACTCAGATCTGCCAGGCACCCCATGCATGATCTTGGCTCCCATGGCCCATCTTGGATTCCAAGATCCCACTCCAACTTGGTGGCTAAAACCTGCTCTATCACGCCAGCCCGACTGACATATGCCTAATACCATGGCACGTTTTCACCGATGCAGTCCATCTGCTGGAAATGCCCATCATCTCATTTTTATCTTGGATTGAGATGGAAAACAATCTCAAGTGAACTTTGGAATTTCCTATGTCTTCCTTTGAATGCAAACTTCAGCCTTTATGAATAGACTTGACATGCTTTCATGTCTGTAAAATTAAAAGGATCATGAGACAACAATAACTTTCATTTCTTGAGGGCTGTGTGCCAGGTGCAATGCTGTAGAACAGCATAATCCCATTTAATCCTAGGGGATGGGTGTAACGATTGTCTCCATTTTATAAACAAGTAGCCTGAGGCCTGTGAGGCACCCCGTTTGTTTCTCTGTGGGAATAGGAGGAGTGAGTAGTTTTTTTTTTTTTTCTTTTCTTTTGTTTGGGAACTTGAACCCAGGGGCACTCGACCACTGAGCCACATCCCCAGCCCTATTTTGTATTTTATTTGGAGACAGGGTCTCACTGAGTAGCTGAGCACCTCGATTTTGCTGAGACTGGCTTTGAACTCCCAATCCTCCTGCCTCAGCCTCCCAAGCCACAGGGATTACAGGTGGCACCACAACGCCTGGCTGCAGGTTTTCTATCCAGAGCATTCTTAACCCAGAATCCAGCAGTCATTAGTTATATGACCCTGAACAAGTTACTTAGTATCTCTGAGCCATTGTTTCTTCTACAGGAAAGTGGAAAACATAATGAACCACTCCACCATGGTTGTTAAAAGGAAAAACTGGGCATTCCCTGTTCCAGGGAGCATGTGACTCTCTCTGTCCCCTGACTGACCATTTTCCCAGGAAGTACCTAGCCCACAGGGAACCTACAGTATAGGGTGGTTTCCCCTGCCTGTTCTTCTCCATGGAACCCTCTTAGACAAGATGCAGCTGGAACAGTTCTGATCTCTGGCTTCTGCAAGCTGAACTTGATGCAGTTCTGTCCAGTGCTGAACTTGAGCATGGGACAAACCTCTGTGGTCTCAGTTTCTCATTAAAAAAAAAATGAGCATCAGAAGTTGTCACGAGATCTTGATCATGCTTTTTCTATCAGCATCAAGGGCTCTGCCACCACATCAGGAGCAAGCCTGTGGGTTTGGGAGTCCTGTGGCTGTGGCCTCTTTCCTTTCTTTACCCTCTGGGTCCTCCAGTCAGTGTCCGCTGCATGTCAGTCTTTCCCTGGGAACAAGGTATGACTTCCTCATCTGCCTGATAGGACTCAAATTCATTTTTCAAATCCATCTCCTCCTAATCTCTTCATAAATGACCTACCATTCATCAAAATCAACTTGGCCACAGATGCAAATCCTGGCCGCCCCCCACCCCCCGGCCCCAACCAACCTGCGTCTGCTGACAAGTATTATCAAGGCACTTCCTTCTTTGTGGACGTGGCAATGACGCTCACATCAGCCCACGGAAGCCTCACGTGGATGCTGGTGGGAGAGAGTTTGCCCCATGTGCTTTGGCTGCTTCCCTTCCCACACTGGGCCCCTGCCCAGCATCTACCACCATGGTACTCCAGAGCCCATGAGTCTCCCTGCCCCTCACTGACCATTCCCCAGTAGCATTTCTCCAGCTTTCTTGGAATAATGATCTTTCTTCATTTGGCTTCTGGGACCCATGCTTTCCAGCACTGTTGCTTATCTCACGGGCTCCATCTTGTTTCTTATGTTGGCATTTCTTTCTCTTCTGGGTTTAGTCCTTGGACCTCTTTCCTCTGTCTGCAGTTACCACCTTGTGATCTTATCTGGTCTCAAGGAGTTCAATACCATCACTGCCTTTTGGCTCACTAGCCTGACCTCTCCCCGTGGCTCAGGCTCATTTGTCTAGCTGCTTCTTTAGCGTCTCCCATTGAGGTTGATGTTGTGCCCATTTACCCAGTTGCTCAGGTGGAAAATCTGGGAAGCATTCTTGATGCTTCTCATTCTTTAATTTACCAAATTCAATTCATCAGCAGATCCAGATCAAAATATTTCTAGACTCCAACTGTATTTCACAAAACCTCCACCATGGTCCATCATTAGTCTCACAGATTACTGGGACACCCTTGTATTAGAGTTCTCCAGAGAAACAGAATCAACAGGCTCTATCCACCTACCAATCATCTATCTCTCTATCTATCAATCTTTTATCTAATTTACTTAAAAAGGAATTTGAAGGCAGTTCTCTGTATAGAATTTGTGTGTATTTTTGTTTTGTTTTGGTGCTGAGGATGGAACCCAGGGTCACTCTACTATGGAGCTATATCCGCAGCCTTATTTATTTATTTATTTTGAGATAGGGTTTCTCTCAATTGCCCAGACGAGCCTTGAACTTGGGGCTCATGTGATTGTCAGGGCTGGTCAGCCTGAAATCTATAGGGTAGGTTGGAAGGCTGGAGATTCAGGGGAGAGGTGACATTATAGTCTATAGTGAATTCTTTTAATTTTATGTTTTGCCAGCATCTATTTTAATTGTAAGTTGGACTTTCTCACACAAGAAGTAGGGTTCCATCACCCTTGGCACAGTCTCTAGTTTTATCTCCTCGGCACTAGTTCCTCAATGTGATCGATTTGGATTTCTGCCTCATACAACTGCACCCTGGTGAATACTTCCCTGTGGGACAGCTAGATACAGCTTGTTTGACTGGTCCCCCTGACCCTCATGCTCTGCATGGACTGTGCAGATACATCAGAGAACTACCTGTCAGTCATGGTGTGACTTCCTGGAACTTGTATGTGACTTCCTGGAACTTGTGCCTGTTTGCTTTAAACCCACCAATTAAAACTCCCTATGGGGAACCTGTTTAGATAACACCCTGAACCCAATAAAGATGTTGGCACACTGGTCTCTCTCTCCATGCTCTCCCTGGTCTCCATGCATGTGGCCTCTGGGAGTGCCATTTAACCTCCCAGGACCTGTAAATAATAAAATCTCCATGTCATCTTGTGTTGTCTCTCTTAATCAGCGGAGAGATGTTCCCTATCTTAAAGATCCTTCATTCAAACAGATTTGAGTCTGGAATCTGAAGGGTGGGTCAGCAGGTGGGAAACATAGGCAGAGTATCTATGTCACAGTCTTGAGGAAAAATTCCTCCTTTGAGAAATCTTTATCTTTGCTCTAAAGACTTTCAACTGACTGGATGAAGCTCACTCACATCTTACAGAGGGCAATCTGCTTTACTCAAAATCTATTGAGTATAATATTAATTATATCTAAAAATATATTTTTGTCAGCAAGAGCTAGACTGTTTTTTTTTTTAACCAAACAATGGGGTACCTTGGCCTGGCCAAGTTGATATGTCAAATTAACCATGACAAACACCCACAGAGATCTCTCTTGTCCTTCTTTAGGCCTTTCTCCATGTAGCAGACACAGCGATTGTCTGAGAATCCAAGTCTCTCCCCTGTTTTTATGAATGGCTTCCCCCTATACTCCAAGTAAAAATCACAGGCTTCCAGTTACAATGTACCTTTGGGACCCTCTCTTCATCTTTGACCTCAGCTCCAAAAACTCTGCCTTTCACCCTCATGTCCTCCAAACCTGTCAAAGATTATTCGCCTTGGGGTTTTACTCTTTTCTTATAAACTGGTATGAGTCACCTCCTCATTTCCTCCAGGTTTCTGCTCAAATGCCACTTCCTTTAAGAGATCATTCCTGATCATACTACTTCAGAGAGCTGAGAGCTTCCCTCATGACTCCTAATTCCTTTAACTTGTTTTCTCTCTCTCTCTCTCTCTCTCTCTCTCTCTCACACACACACACACACACACACACACTATTTCTGGAGACTTTCTACTAGAATGCAAGGTCCATTAAAGTTAGAAATTTGCCTAATTTATTCTCCTAAAACAATACCTGGCCCATAATTTGTGTTTGACAAATACTTGATGAATTGAGTAAATGAATATGATTCAAAGATCTCTTCCACCAACAATTAAATGTTTCCTCTTGGACACTTTCCCACTTTTCTGAGCCATAATCACTTCACCCAGCATCTTCCTGGCACTTGGTATGTGTTCAAAAAGCATTTTCTCTTTTTATTTTCATAGCTGTGAAACCTTTTCCAGAAATCCATCCTTTGTGTGTCCTGGTATATAGAAACCTCCAGAGCATTCAATAATTGGATCAACAAATATTTACTGCTGGTTCATTGCTAGACACCAGTCTAGGCATGAAGGACGCAGTTATTAACAAGAACAACAAAGCTACTGCCCACAGAGCAGTGTGGTGACTGGGACACGGACAGGGAATGGAGGTGGTGAGAAGGACTGGGAGGTTAGAGGCTCTGAGGTCAGAACCCACAGGATTTTCTGTGCTCTTGGATATAAAGGCCGAATGAAGAAAGGAGCCCAGGATGATAATCAGGTTGGGTCACCAAGTCAACTGATGCCACTGTTTGCTGACATGGGAGATAGGAATGAGCAGATCACTCTGGTTTCTAATCGCTCTAGCTTCTTGATACCCCTCATAAGGGTATCAAGAGTCTAGTTTGGACATGTTAAGTCTGAGATGCCTGTTTGACATCTGAGTACAGATGTGGGCCATAGACACAACTGTCGTCATCCTGGCGTATCTGCTACTTTGAGTCCTGAAACTGGATTGAGGGAGTGACAGAGTGGATAAAAGGAGGTGCAGGCCCCTGCTCTTGGTTTCTGCAGCATTGGGAGGTGAGGCCCCAAGGGAGGACCAGCATGGCAGATAAAGAAGTAAGTGGACATCAAGAGAGACCCATGTCAGTGATACCAAGAATATGTTTCAGGGACAAGAGGGTGCTTGCCTGGGATAAAGGTCATGGTTGGCTCCAGCAAAATGAGGACTGAGTACTGTTTCTGGATCTGACAACATGAATGTCCCTAGTGACCTTGATAAGATCAATTCCAAGAGTAGTAAGAAGGAAAGTCTGACTGGAATGTGTTCAAGAACAGATATCAGCCAGGCATGGAGATGGATGCTTATAATCCCAGCTACTTAGGAGGCTGAGGGAGGGGGACTGCAAGTTCAAGGCCAATTTGGGCAATTAAGCAAGGTACTGTCTCAAATTAAAAAATTAAAAGAGGGTGGGGCTGGGGCTGTAGCTCTGTGATAGAGTGTCCTTGGTCTAATCATCACTACTACAAAAACAATAAAACACTCAAATAAAACAAAAAGCAAGACAGGAAGACAGAAAATGGAGTGAGTTTTTACCTATCACTTTAAATCAAAAGATAAAGCAGAAAGATGACAAATTTAAAGGATCAGCATGTAGTGTAGAGTTGATCTGGACCCTGTAGTGGGAGTTTCAGAAACCAAGGTATGGCAAATTTCCTAGCAGCTCCTCAAATAAAATTTTGGTCTTCTCTAGGAGAGGCGGGTGACCTAACAAATGGTTCTATTTTTGCTATGGCCACTAGGAAACTCAGAACCAAATTGTTGCCCCAACATTACATTAGTAATTCAACTGAACCACATCATCTGTCATTTTACCAGGCTACCCATAGTGTATCTGATCGTGTTTTCCACACACACACACACACACACACACACACACCTTTTCCAACTACTTTATCTTCTTCCAGCCTCAATGCCTTTGCGGAGTGGGGGTTGGGTAATGGGTTAACGCAAGTAAATGGGTCAAGGCTGCCCTCTGGCGACAGCCGGGGCACTCTGCAGGGCGAGAGGATGCTCCTTTGCCGGCGAGGCTCTCTCTACCTTCCCTGAGAGTTAATGGGTTGAGCCCACGATTGGGCCCGGGGCCTCTCCGCCCGGGTCCACGCTTGGGCGTCGTTAGGGATGCTCCTCCGAGGCTCGGGAGGAGACGTGCGTGAGGTCGCTGTGAAAGTCCCTCGGGTTGGGAGATGCCCGCGTCCCGCCGTCTCCGGACGGAGTGGTCAGATGAGCCCGGGGCTGGGGTGGGCGGGGGAGGACGGGAAGGTTCAGGCCGCGGCGGGAATGGCACTGGGACCGGACGGCAGAGGAGCAAGCGTGCGTGCGGGAGGGCGCGTGCGGGCGCGTGCGGGAGGGCGCGTGCGGGTGCGTGCGAGAGGGCGCGTGCGGGTGCGTGCGGGAGAGCGCTGCGGGTGCGTGCGCGTGTGGGGGTGCTGCGTGGGCGGCCGCGCGGGCTCCGCAGGGGAGGAGCGGGGCGCATCGTTGCGCGTTAAGGTGGGGAGCTCGTGGTGTGGACGGCTGGGAGGGGACCTGGGCGGGGGCTTCCCGCCGCTGCCCGGAAGCTGGGGAGCTGCGGAGGACGGCGGAGGCTGAGGAGGCATCCAGCCCCTGAAGAC